GGGTTCCTCCGGCGGTAGTTTCGAACCATCTGGGAGACAAGGCAAATCAGATGGGCATCTCTAATAAAATGAGATATGTTATCCGTTAGGGAAGAGATGTATACGAGGACGGAACACTGACAGGCGACCTAGCCGTCGCCTCGCCTCTACTAAAGTGAGATCTGTTATTCATTAGGGAAGAGATGTATGGCGAGGACGGAACACTGACAGGCGACCTACCCGTCACCTTGCCCTCTAAGAACCCAATGAGAACTTATTCAGCCGAAATAAGTGGTCGCGCCGCTTGATGGTGTCTTTCCATCTGCCGCGGCAAGGACCCTCCCGCAAGGTGCCCCCTGCTCCTCCCCTCCCTAACGTAATATGGTCTCCCACTAATACTGTAGGAGTTTGTGTGCCTTCTTTCGCTGTCCTCACCGCCGCCTCATGTTGTAACGTGGCGGGGGTGGTGTAGGAACCTGTGGGCACTGATCATGATCACTTTCCGCTGGATCCTGAAGCACTTCTAACTCCTCGGGTTCATTGAAAGGTTTTATGTGGGTAACATGAATGGACCCCCACACTTCACCGGACTCGCAGTGCACCAGCTTGTAAGTGACGTCAGATAGTGCTTTGCTGATGCGGTAGGGGCCTTCCCACCTATTGGCCAGGGACACCGTGGAGCCCCTAGCTGCGTCACTTAGCGGATGAGTTCGCCTCAGCACCAGATCTCCTACATTGAACCTCAAATTCCGCCTCCCTTTGTTGTACTGCTCCGCTTGCTGGAGTCTCGAGATGTCCAGGTTCTCTCGAGCTTCACGTAGGTTCCCAAAGAAGCGCTGCTGGAGATCTGCTGCGAACTGCGTAGTGGTGCGCTGCACACGTGCTTGGTCTGTGCAAAGAAGACCATTTTCCAGGGGAAACACGAGTTATTTTCCAAAGTTCAGTAGGGCTGGGGTAAAACCCGTAGACCGGTTCAGTGTTGTGTGTGTGGCGAATGCCATTTCCGCCAGTTTCGCGTCCCAATCCTTGTGCTGCTTTGTGTGCGTGACCAGCATCATTTTGAGGTTTCGGTTTACTCTTTCCGTAATATTCGCCTGTGGGTGGTACGGCGACGTTTTTTTTGTGCCGTATCCCCAATGCCTTGCATGCGTCAACGAACACCCTGCTAATAAAATAAGAAGCGTTGTCCGTAATGAGTGTTGCTGGAAAGCCGAACCGAGCGAATGTCTCGAGAAGGCAATCCCAGATTCTCCTGGAGTCAAGTTTGCGCAGAGGAAACAGTTCAACCCATTTTGTGAAGTGGTCCGTCACTACAAGCAAATACTGGTTTCCTCGCGGACTACGGGGAAAAGGTCCGACCACGTCGCATGCAACGCATTCCCAAGGGTATCTACTTTCGACCGATTTCATTAAGCCTGGTGGTTGTCCCCCTCGGGGTTTTGCCTTCTGGCACGCCGTACAACTGCGCGTGTACCTCATAACGTCCTGTCTCATACCGGGCCACGTTGCAATTTGGGCTAACTTTTCGTAAGTCTTGCTCCCACTGCTGTGCCCGGCCAATGCGGAGTCATGCATATATCTTATGAAGGACTTACGCAGTTTGCGAGGTATCACGGACCGGAACGGCGAACCACCGGCCTCGTCTTCCTGGTGGATGTACCTCAGCAGGATATTGTCGCTGCTCAGCAGGTACGAGTCGAACTCCCCAGGAACCTCGGCGTCGGTTGGGCTCCGTTCTGCCAGGGCCTGCGTCACCCGCTGGCAGAGCCCATCGGCCTGCTGGGCAGTCCGGAGCTCCTCTCTGCTCACCAGTGTTCCCCATCTTGAATCCGTGGTGATAGGCGCGGAGACAGCCACCGCCACCAAGTGGGGATCCACCTGCATCTCCTGCCCGAGAAGTGGAGCACGGGAAAGCGCATCTGCCACGTTGTTAGTCGCTCCGCGCTTGTACTCAATGGTGTACTTGTAGCGCTGGAGTGTTAGTGCCCATCGAGCGAGGCGGCCTGCTGGGTTTTGAAGTCCTTTCAGCCAAGAAAGAGCCATGTGGTCAGTTTGAATACAAAATGACGCTCCATCCAGGTACATGTCAAACTTTTTTAGGGAAAAGATAATCGCCAGACACTCTTTCTCGGTGGTAGAATAATTCCGTTCTGCTCCGGTAAGCGTATGGCTGGCGAATGCTACCGGTCGAAGGAGGTTGTCGTATTCTTGTAAGAGAACTGCTCCCAACCCGTAATCGCTTGCGTCGGTTTGCAAAGTGAACGGACGATTCAAGTCTGGGAGATGCAGGCACGCGTTGTCTGTCACAGCCTTCGAAAAAGCTGCAAACGCGATCTGCTGCTGTTCGCCCCAACACCACTTCGTTTTCTTGCGGAGAAGTTGATTCAGTGGCGCCGTTATTTCGGCACATCGCGGTATGAAATCCCTGTAAAAAGCGATCATACCGAGATATCTCTGCAGAGCTTTGACGTCATGGGGCGGGGGGTATTCCGTTATCGCGCGTAGCTTATCCTCGTTTGGACGCAGCGTGCCGCCATCAACCACAAAACCGAGAAGTTTGATTTCTGGAACGGCCAGCTGTGCCTTCCCTGGATGAATTGTAAGGCCGGCCTGGCGCATTCGTTCTAGTATAATGCGGAGATGTACGAGATGCTCCTCGAAAGTTCGTGAAAACACGACGACGTCATCCAGGTATGCCATCGCAAATTCGTACTTCGCATCGCCGAGCACGACATCCATTAAGCGCTGAAAGCTGGCAGGCGAATTAGACAACCCAAAGGGAAGGCGAGTGAATTCGAATAGCCCTCTGTGGCAAATGAATGCCGTTTTTGGCACGTCAGCGGGGTGGACCTCGATTTGAAGAAACCCCCGGCTGCAGTCAAGGGTCGTGAAAACGGTCGAATTTCCGAGGGCGTACATCACCGAGGAGATACTAGGGAAAGGATAACTGTCTCTGATTCACACTTCATTTAGTCGCCTATAGTCTACACAAAGCCTGGCTGTACCATCCTTCTTTGGGGCCAGGACCACCGGTGAGGCCCAAGGGCTTTTTGACTCACGTACTGCGCCGGTGTCGATCATTTCTGCGAGCGCCGTATCCAAAAGTTGGCGCTTGTGGGCACTGATGGGTCTCGCATTGCACCTCCGGGGTGGTGCGTCCTTGGTTTCGATTCGGTGCCGCATAAGATCGGTTTTCCCAGGTCTTTCCGTGAACATCGGCGAGAAGGGTTCCAGCAGGTGCTGGAGCTGCTTCTGGTTGTTCTCACCGGAACACTTTTGCACGGCCTTGAGCACGCTGTCTGGAAGTAAAGACACCTGCCCGGCAACGTTTACCGGAAACGCTTGGCCGCGAATACAATCTTGTTGTCTGGTAAACGGCGTTAATTCCGTTTCGCCCCCCAATCAATATCCAGCTCGGGCGAAGTCTAGTGAAAGCCGCTCTGCCGTAATGAAATCCCGACCAAGGATTATGGGAACTGGCAGTCCAGGGAGATACACAAAACGTTGTCTTCGTTTTCTGGCATGAAAGCAAATTCGCAATCTCACTGCGCCGGCAGCAGGCAGTACGGACCCCGATGCTACCTGCAGTTTTACATTTGCCGACCGGAGATGTATCTTTTTCTTGTTACACTCCGCAAACATAGCATCCCCCATAAGCGATATGTTTGCCCCTGTATCTAGAAGAGCGGCCACTGGGGTACCTAGTACATTCACGGTGATACGTGGCTCAAGGGACTTGGTTCTAGTTTCCATTCTACTTACAGCAGGGATGAGCTCTGCCGGTCTCTCGGTTCGAGAGGCTGTTCCAAACCCCGCCGGCCGTGGCGAGTCCACGGGCACCCGGCCATCCCGAGCGACCATCCTGGGTGTTGAGAACTTCAACGCGGCACTGACACTCGGGATCGGGCCGGAATCTGGCGGGCCGACGTTTGGCTGAAAGGGAATCACATTAGGGTCCAACTCAAATGCAATTGTTTCGTGCAGCTTACGGCCGAGAACAGTGTAAGCCGGCCGTCCGGGGATCAGCGCGATCGCCGACACGCCGGGAGTCTCATGCCTGAGAATGTCGTGAGCTTGCCGCCCGGGTGTCACTGCTACAGCAGGCACGCCGGGAGTCTCAAGACCGCGAACGGTGTGAGCTGGGCGCCCGGGTGTCGGTGTGAAAGCCGACACGCCGGGAGTCTCATGAGGGGGAGTGTTGTGAGCTGGCCGCCCGGGTGTCACTGCGACAGCAGGCACGCCGGGAGTCTCAAGACCGCGAACGGTGTGAGCTGGGCGCCCGGGTGTCGGTGTGAAAGCCGACACGCCGGGAGTCTCACGGCGAAGAGTGTTATGAGCTAGCCGCCCGGGTGTCTGTGCAAAAGTAGACACGCCGTGAGTCTCAAGACCGCGAACGGTGTGAGCTGGGCGTCCGGGTGTCGGTGTGAAAGCCGACACGCCGGGAGTCTCATGACGGAGAGTGTTGTGAGCTGGCCGCCCGGGTGTCACTGCAACAGCAGGCACGCCGGGAGTCTCAAGACCGCGAACGGTGTGAGCTGGGCGCCCGGGTGTCGGTGTGAAAGCCGACACGCCGGGAGTCTCACGACGAAGAGTGAAAGTGTTATGAGCTGGCCGCCCGGTTGTCGATGCGAGAGCAGACACGCCGGGAGTCTCAAGACCGCGAACGGTGTGAGCTGGGCGCCCGGTTGTCGACGCGAACGCGGACACGCCAGGAGTCTCATGACGGAAAGTGTTGTGAGCTGGCCGCCCGGTTGTCGATGCGAGAGCAGACACGCCGGGAGTCTCAACACCGCGAACGGTGTGAGCTGGGCGCCCGGGTGTCCATGGAAAATCGGACACGCCGGGAGTCTCACAACGAGGAGTGTTATGAGGAAGAAAAAGTGATGGAGGGCCACCGAGGCTCGATAGAAAAGCGTCAGTCCCCGGAGCCCGTGTGAGCCTCCGGGAGGCCCGGGGGCGGCTGCGGCGACTCGATCTTGTGGATCGTGTTTTCGGCGCAGCCGGCGGAGAGTAGGAATTTCTTACCACCGCCGGCCGTAGCCGTTTCCCTGTGTCTGAGGCTGCCGCCGCTGTTCCCTACATTCCCGGCGTATGTGTCCTGGCCGGCCGCATCGAAAACAACGAGTCGTGGCCCGCCCGTCGGCTTCGTGCGGTGTCTCGCTCGTACTTGCCCCTCCCCCGCTCCACGTTACCGGTCCAGAGGCCAAGACCTCATCTTGACCAATGGATGGGTTGGGGCGTTGTGAACGTATGCCCTGAAACCCGCTGCGCCTTCGTGATTCATATGCATGAGGATCTAGGCCTCGGGGGACAGACGCTTGGTTGGAATAGTCTGGTTCTCCCCCGACTCTATGTACCCGTGCGTTCCCAGACCACGCAAATGAGGGTTCCAGGGTCATGTTCTGTGGAGGAGGGGGGCGGTATCTAAGTTCCGCGAGGATATCGGCCTGGATGGTGATCGCTGCTCGTGCCATCTCGTCTAAGTTCTGAAATGTGCGTCCCCTGAGATGGGGATGGAAGCGCGGGTGGCTTTGGCGGATGGCGCGTTCTACTTTCTCCGCGTCTGGTGCCGCGGCGTCGGCGATGTCGTACAGGCCCTGGAGAGCCCTTACAAACTCAATGAGTGACTCGTCCGGGTGCTGTGTGCGCGCGCGCAGCTCGTCCCTGATTCGCATGTTGTAATCCGGAGGCAGGAACTCCGCCCTAAATCGCGCCTCGAAATCTGCCATACTCGTGAATTTGGTTTGTCTTTGCCTCCACAGTGCTGCACTGTCCGTTAGTGCAACCGGGAGGAGACGGTCTAGCACTACCTCGTCTTCTATCCCCGACGCTGCTTTGTAGTTTTGCAGCTCAGAGATGAACGTTGTCACCGACTTCCTATCCGCGTAGCCCGCATACTTTGGAATAGTAAGCGGGAGCCGCAGATGGTCTTTAGGAGGCGGGGTGACTGTCACCGAGGGGCGGCTTAGTTGCATCATCTGGTACCGTTGACACTGAAGCAGGAGGGTCATGGCCGATCTCAACTCGTCGACAGTGTCCCGTTGCACCGTGCCCGCCGATTCTGTGGTCGCTGGTTGCAAAATCCGTGTGTCATGTTCGGTAGTGCTTTCGGGGTTTAGTCGCTTCGCGAGCTCGCCGAGGGGAATATCGTCCTCGTCGTCGCCCTTAGTTTTGCTAAGGTCCTCCGTGGAAACCTGCCGCGGTGGTGTCCTAACTACGTTCATCGCGAGTTCCCCCCAACCCTGAAAGTCTTCCAATCGGTGCTATGGAGGTCTCTTTCTGCCTAAAGCGCGACACTTTTATGTGGGCACAGGTGCTCCACATAAAATCGGTGAAAGGACAAAAAAAAAAAAAAAATAGGAAGCAAACGTTCAACAGAAAGGAGGCCTGTTCTCAGATAGCGGCGTTGTATGTAAACCGCGCAATCACTCTTCCAAAATTACAATATCAGTTCGACAACAAATCGATAACGCGGGTCGAAACACTCACGCGGAACGCGAGCACCATTCAGGGGCGTGGCGCCGCTCAACGATAACCGTGACCAAAATAGAACGACGTTTGGTTTGTTTCTTTAACCAACAGTTATGAGCTGCCTGTACCCTTGCTCGCACCGTGTGGACGGAATTGTCACCGGCCTATGCGCCGAAAATTCAAATCGCCTCCTCCGCTGCGTGAACGCGAACACATGCGAACCCGAGACAAACAGTGGAAAAAACTCCACCTACCTTCCGGAGTCGGCCACACGAACGAGGCCTCACGTCGGTCGCCAATGTGGGTTTCCCTGCCCACAGCCTGGAAGCCCCGGGTTCTCGTCCGTGCGGTCCACCCCGGAAGAACACGTAACAACAAGGAAGGATTTCTCACGTCTTCTTTAATGCCCGTCTCGATCCCGAATCCCTCTGTGCCTCCCCCCCAGCTGCGCCCTGCCGGCGCGTGGCGCTGCCGTCGGGCGCCTTGCCCTCTGCCGGCGCGGTCAGTGTGGCGGCGGCCACCACAACTGCTGCATTAAGTTTTGACAACGAAGCCTGCCAGTTTTGTTGTGCTTAATTATGTGAAATGAACATTTACATATCTAAGGTCTCCCAATACTATTTTCCGCAAGTAATTATAACTGTGACTCTAGAAGTAGTATTTGTAGGGGGTGTTTTAGAAACCAGAAGGGAGTTTCTTCAGGCGTAGCCAGGGGGTTGCCCCCCTCCCCACCCCCCTCAAATCTTGTTTTGCTGGGACCTCCTTTCTCCCTCCCCCACCTATAGACCTTTTTCGTGTACTCTCCTTCCCAGCCACCTAATAGGCATATCCGGTGTGGGTGACGAAAGATTATTAAAACGTTTCAACCTGCAAATAGTAAAACATAGAGGGGAGGCAAAATGAGAATGTGTGACGGTTATGCTTTTCTCCTAAATGTTTTCTATTGGCGTGGCGACAGCAGAACAATATTTTCGCCCATACTGGAAGTGACGACAATTCAAGATGGCGGCGCCCTTGCGGAAAAGGTCTATAGCGTCTTGTCATAGCCCCCCCCCCCCCCCCCCCCCCCCTCCCAACCCCGCCCGCTCTCCCGCCCGCAACAAGATCCTGGCTACGTGCCGGAGTTTTTTTACATAATTGAGTGTTGACAGACGGAAAGTTGTCTAAAATACGTTCTAAGATACATTCGCACTGCTACCGAAGAACAGCCCTGCATTTATTGAATGAACTGATATTTGGTTTTCAAATGCATTAGACAAAATGGTTCAGGAACTGGTTGTAAATGCTAACCTGCCGTTCTCCTTCGTGGAACATAGGAGTTTCAGGCATCTGATACAGTGCGGCTTCCCTGACCGTCACGTGATGAGTCGACCAAAGTTGATGAGCGAAATCAGTAAGGATGCGACTGAGACAAAAGAAGTGATAAGAACAAATCTCGGCGATCTTCAGTATGTTTCTTCTACTGCGGACTGCTGGTCACTTCATAAGAGGTAACTGTCGTGGTTTCTCCTCATTATGCGGTATTCTCAGTGCCATAGTTTATTTTGGTGTCTCAAGGATTTACCTTGGGGTGACAGCACATGAGATCGACCCAGACACGCTGGAAAGGTGTTATTTTAAGCTGTGCTGTCGTCGCATTCGAGGAAGGCACAGATTCGATGTTCTTGCATCTACGTTAGAAGGCGTATACACAGAGTACGATATCCTCGACAAACTAACCTGTACCAGTACGGACAGCGGCCCCAATGTCATAAAGGCTTTCAGGTGAAAATGAAATCTTTTATATTTCTTACTAGAAAATTCGAACAATTGCTCCAGAATAGATGTTTATTTTTTATTTTATACAGCCATTTTGGGCGGCAATATGAAGACTACAGACACACATCATCGGAGAGTGAGACCTGTTCGAATCTATAACGTCCTCGAAGCTCGTGACCGATCTGATGGGGTCTACTCACTTCGTCACCACCAGCGCTGTGTGTGCGATATGCTGAATCTGACCGCAACGAAGGTAAATAGGCAAACTTTAACAGCGGCAATCGGTTGATGTTACTTCTAATTCTGCAGGACGTGGAGAACGCTGAAGAATCGTCGCCGCCTGAAGAACCAAATAAGGCAGGCTTTCAGCAAGTGCTCGGCATTATGGAAGAAGCAAGCGAGGTCTAATGTGGTTGTTGACGCCATCTATTTAAGCTGTGAAAAATATTTGCCCACACCTGTCCTCGTGCGGTGGAACTCTACATACGATTGCCTCAAATCGCTTCACGGAATGCTTGTTCACAGTGAGGGAAAGTTGAAGGAAGTTTGTGAGAATTTTAAAATTCCGCGATTCACGAGGTCAGACATTGACTTTATTGATAAGTATGTTCAGGTGTTTAAACCTCTCCCACAAGCTATAACTCTTCTCCAGCGCGAAAACAGCATGTTCATGGCATATCTCCGGCCTACAGTGGCTTCACTTCGCAAAAAAATGCCCGCGTTGCTGACGGAGAACTTGAGGTACTGCCGCCCGGTGGTCGAGAGCTTAATCGCGGCGATCAATAAGAGGTTTGCAGGTATGGAAGAAGAAAAACATTTGATAATATCTGCTGTATGCCATTCAAAATTTAAGGTTGCATGGTGTCGTAGTTCAGGTCAACCGTCTCAGTGAAATCGGAGAGTGCACGGTCGGACGGTATAAATCAATTTATATAACACAGCGGCATACGTAAATGGAAAAGATGCCTAATGCCCAAGTATTTACACATGTACAGTTAGACATGTCTTGAACTCTCACGTCCCCGTTCAGGTTGACGACCTCAAGCGTTGGGGTCACCAGTGTCCGTTGAAACTTGATGATGTGTTTTCGACGGAGCCAGTTGCTTTTTACCAGGAGTCGCTGCCGAGGTATTTCCGGGCTCTGTTGGAGATGGCCCAGGTTTTTCCGAGAAATCTCCCGCTGGGTACCAGGGTTCGTCGCCTTGATACTTTGGGCCTCTGTAGAGGGCTGCGGGTCCGAGTTTGGGTGGAGCCGGCCTGCGTCTGCGGTTTACGGCCGAGGACTGCAGCTTTCTCAGGTCATCGTCGAATTCGTCTGCCTCTGCGGTTCGCGGCCGAGGTATGCAGCGTTCGCGGGGCACTGTCGAATCTGTCCCCCTGCTCGAGCCCCACTTTTTCGAGCTTCTCCTTTTTTTCCTCTTCACTTTCCACCGCCTAACCTGGCACCTCTTCTTTCCTCTTCTTTTTTCACTGAGTAACGTGACAATTACCCTCCCCCCCCCCCCTTTCAGTATTTAGTTTATCTAAATTCTGATTCCTTCAGGTTACGCGGCTCTCTACCTGTTTTCATGATGTAAAAATTAAATAGCGCAAAGGTTATACAAAGGACAAACGACAGAACATGTAGAGAGAGAGAGAGAGAGAAAATCGATTTATTAAAATAATAATGAAATTCGGAAAGGGTTAGTCTAGCCGATTAGCTGGCATTGTTCGCTCCGAGAAAGGAAAAAAAATGTTAAAGGAATAGATGAAGAGTGCAAAGAAAGAGAAGAATAAAGAGAAAGGTGAGAGGTGTAAAATTATTCATCACGAAATCACTTTCATATGTTCATAACTTTAGAAAATGCTCTGCTTCTTATAGTTGACCTTGTAGCCCAGTGGCTTGAAAGAAGGTCAGGAATATCCTCTGAAGTAATTTCCTCCGAGCTCGGGTACCAGAAGGGGAAATAATCCTTGCAATGTCTTCCACGACGAAGTGATGTCTTTTTAACTGTGATGCGAGGTTTTCCCTTTCCTTTTCAAATTTCTGGCAGTCTTCTAGGATATGGTTAATATCTTCGGTAACACCGCATACGTTACAGGTGTCTGTATCACGTTTTTTCCAGCGGTGAAGTAATTTTCCTGTACGCGCACTTCCTGTACGTAGGCGGAAGAGGAGTGTGGCTTCTGCTCGTCGAAGACTTCCTGTTAGACAGGGTTGGATAAGGGAGGAGTGCGCTATTGATAAATCACAGATGTGTTCATTCATAATTTGGTAATATTTTCTAGGATCATCTTGCGTCTTGATGCTAATAGGAAGATTGTGTGCGTTGGAGGCAAGTTGGTCTGCCTTTTCGTTTCCATGTAATCCGACATGAGCTGGTACCCACTGAAATGAGATTTCGAAACCATCTTCTTCTAGTGATCTTGAAATTGATTTGGCCGCCATTACTACTTGTGACATTTGTCGAGGCCTTTGGAGCTGTTGAAGTGCAGCAAGAGAATCCGTTAGGAGAATAACTGCCTGCGGTGTTAAGTTTTTTATCATGTGAAGGGCTTCTAGGATTGCATGCATTTCAGCTGTAGTTGATGACACAAACTCATCTAGTCGCCCACTCCATTCGAGCTGTAAAGTAGGCGCATAGTAGGCGGAAGTGCTACCTCTTCGACTTCGATTTACTGATCCGTCCGTGTACACCTCCAGGTGGTTGGCGTATCTTCTCGAAATGTATTCATTAGTTTTTAGTTTTATGACAGTTGAGTTGGCGCTGAACTTGTTGTAAAAATACTCCAAAAGCCGGGAGACGTCATAATTAAAATAAGTACACCGACTTGACATAACAGAAAAAACAACTTCATTAGACGTTTCGCCTCCCATGCGGGAGGCATCATC